ACTACACCGCTCTGTTCATATGCACAAATAATATGTACCAAAACAAAGTATTACTTGTACGATTTAAAATGCAATTTTAGTCTCAAAGTGGAGGATAACGTGGCGCTAAAAATATTTGACCTATTAGTTAAGGAAATTAATTTCTTAGGACTGATTTAGAGCACGAACACAACTGCCCGCAAGCAATTGCCAGCAGTAATTTCAGTGTTTATTGAATGACTTTAAATAAATTTCAATGATGTTAATAAATCTTTTGTAATGTAAGATACACGTAAGCTCGATTCTTTAAGTTAATGTACGGAAAAGGTGCATTTTTAAGCTTAATTATGATATTTAGTCTTGAAAAAGAATGTAGTTAAACTCTATTTGGCACAGAAATGATTGAGAATATCGAATTATATTCATTTGAAAAGATGCAAATACCAGCATTTACCAAAGAAAGCAAGATGAACACTTAAAAACGGCTAATTAATGGATGATTTCTAAGTCTTCATTTTGATAGTCCATTCACTCGACCCCTCATAAACAATCCGAACAAGTAAATTTCCATGGTTCAAAAAATTGTGGCGCGTGCAACAGCCTAAACACACCAGTCACTCCTTGATAACGATTGAGATAACTCAATATCCAAGTCCAACTTTTCTGTCCATAATACCCTTACATCCATCCCAAAGATTCAATGAACTAACTTGTGCGAATACCACTACAGACAAGATTTGACCAATGCAGAGTGCAGTATAGTTGAAACACAAAAATAACTTGACTGCTAATATCTATTAGTACGTACAAACTCAACCAACTTAGTTCTGAACATAAATTGAACTCTTTATTCATTTAGAAGAAGTTTACCATGTTTGAAGCTATAAGTGGGCGTAACAATAATACTTTATTCAAATGAAACTAGAAAACAAGAAACCGCCATACATTCAAAATCTCTCCTACACTTATACAAGTTTCAACGTTTTGTGGCTTTATTCAGATATTAAAGTATTAGATAAGCAAGAGATCACAAAATGCCAGCCTCCCATTTCAGAACTACACAAATCTATAAAAATATCTTGCTCGACTTGAGAAACTTCTCGTAACGAAATAACAATGACAAAAAAAGATAGCATGAAAATTAGAATAAGTGTGTGCTGTGGTAGACTACAAAAAGACGATGCGTGATAAAATTTTATGCAAAATTGTAAATTTAGCAACTTAATCAGTTTGATATTCTCGAGGACATAATTAGCGTGACAGAAGTGAACATCCGATAGCATTTTCTATGATAAAAGCCTGAGTCGGCAAATCAAATCGGCAATATCCCTTCGTTCAGTGCACAATTATTAATCTGCAATAATCTCAGAAAAACAAAGCAATGATAATGACCTGCAAGTATTGATGGAAACAATTGAAGTGATTTCTGAATTCATTCAAAGTCAACGATTTCATTATTAAGGTCAATAAGCTCGCTTTTACCACCAAAAATCACAGCTAATTAAAAAATTACTGTTCAATTGACTCAATATTTGAAATTAAATTAAAAAAACCACTTCCTTCCACTCTGAGTCATCGAAAAGCAGGAAAAAGCTATTTAAATAATGGAAACAACATTCACTAGAGCATATCTTGCGGAATTAGTAAACATACCACTCCATAAAAGTAATATGCACCACAAAACTAATGAATTTAATGAAGACCCAACCTCCAGTTTTGCCCAAAATGGCTTTATTTTGATAATATAGCTGCATATAACACCTGATAATAACTTGGTTAAGTCACAATCCATAGAACTGCAAGTCCATTGCATAACTCCATGAGACAAGCTCACACAAATATAAAATACTGACAGAAATATACTTTAACAAACGCCCATAATCAAAAAGAACTGCTGCACCGGGTAGCATTCAAACATTATTGGTAGCTTTTCAAAAATGCATCCACCGAAGACTTCTCCTCTATCAGAACAGGTCAGGAATACGCTATCAGTTACCTAAATTACGCACATTTCTTCAAGATGTCAGAAACATTTCATCAGAAAACTCAAAGCTACTACTGCATGAAATCCATAAATAAGAAATTAAAATAAAACTAGTCAATCACGACAAAATACATGGTAGAAATTTGAAAAAAACACATAGGAAAACATAGATTTACTTATTCATGTTGTGCAATAAAGATATTTTTTTTCTATTTACTCAAAGCTGAAAAATAAATGCATTCATGTAATGCTATATGAGTTACTACAGATTATGGCATGCTACGAGACCGAACATCTAAACTGTAAAAGTGAATAACATTAAAACGAAATTACAAACCTCCGAGACGATATTATCAGTAAATATACGGGATAATAAATCAGTAAAAATTTTGCTAACCAATATGCAGCAAACCAATTTGAACGATATGTTGAATACATTGCTCTGTAACGTATAATCATGGTGTTTCACAACTTAAAGTTTTATCGTCAACACAATACTATAAATTTTGTTTCCAAAAAACTTTATGATCCCGCACCAACAATTTGGTAAAAATCAGAACTGGACAATTTCCTGCATTTACCAACATGAAAGTAATTTATTTTTGTCATAAAATGAAAAATTACATTGAATATAAATTTATGAAGGCCATTTAAATGCTTATTTATGATAAAATTAACATTTTAAATCAGCACCACTAATTGTAATTGGAAATTTATATCCAAAGAAGAGCTTCAGTTGCCTACCACTTTAGTGTTGCCTCCAATTTCAATCATTTGAACGATGTTCAATTGCATGGTATGAAGTGAAGACCATAATAATTCTGCGTGCAAATGAAGAAAGCATGAACAAAAAATCCCAGGTACATAAAGATCAAATTATTTTTCTCAATCACAAATGTCTTCAGTCTAAACAGAAAATTCAAAATGATAAAAAAGTAGGGAATTATTTCGATACAAATGCAGTAGAAATTCTCTGTTCAATTCAACCACACATCAGGATAACAAAAAATGAACGAATACAAGAAGAACCTTAAAAAAGAACCCCTTGCCATATTTTCAAATAAATACAGAGCAGTTAGATAAGAAGTACAGTAGATATTGTAAAGTGTCCACAATCGTTCATACTTAAAAACTATTTTTTATGTAAAAGTGAAACAGAAGTTTGGACAAACTTCGTTTGCTTGATGCTTCGCTATTTCTTTCTTTAATTCTGGAGTATTTGACGACATACCTTACAGATTATTACATACTGATGAAATCAACTGCAAAATTATGATGAGATTATTGTTAACAGAATATAATTACTGGAAAAATTTTTAAAGTTCTCAGTCTACACAAATCTGTAAGCAAAGTATTTCAAATTACTTAAAATTAATGTAGGTAAATTGAATAATTTACCTAGCAATAATTTCCATATAGCAATACGATAAATACTTTGAACATGATATTTAAAAGCAAACTGTCCCGATTCAGCTACATCAACATCATCACGTGAAACTTCTTTCTCAATTTTAAACCGACTACATTCTGCTTCATCATCACTATGCGAGTGATATAATAATGACGAAAGTTATGCAGTCGATCCATACTATCCTAAAATAAGCAACTGTGATCATTGAGTAACAGGAGAAAATAGTCCGCACTTTCACGCATGTATGAATGTCCCGCACAACCAGGAGTAAAATATACTCGCTTCATCTTTGATTTATGGATTTAAAGAATTCTAGAACTCTTACTCCTTACGTTTTAAGAGTTACTCTCAGCAGCGTGATTTGTCCATGAAGAAACATACATCGAAACTTCACGCCCTTTTATTCACCAAAGTTATCACATTTTCCTTGTGTATTGCATGAATTTAGAATAGTGATCGATCTGGAAATGACCGCGACTGACTTCTATTGTTTGGATTTTCTTGCCACCATGAGACTTGTTATTCCCGTCAAATGTGGTTTCCCATTATTTGTTTCTGAAATTTTTTCCAAGCCGCTCGATCAGCTAGAAAAGAAGGCCACAGTCACTATGGTTTCAACTTCCATATATTCACACTGCTACTTTGGATAATCGGAAGCCGGAAAGTTTTCTTACATATATATACACTGAAGGCTTTATCGTAATTTGAAATGCGTTAAACTTAATTTGTAGCAATAACTGGTCAACAAATACTTCATGCATGTTAATATATACATTGCCTTAACACAAACTTTGATTACAATACTAAGTGGAAAACAACGTAGCATTATCAAATCTCAACATGGAAACACCAAACTATGTCACGCATTCTTGCGATTATATAAATACAATCTTAAAAGTGTAGCTTCTCAGTTACTTTCCTACATACATTGTACAGTTCCATTACTATGTCCCTTCTGGAAAGTCACTTGGATTTATTCCCAAAAAGTCGTAAACTAGTTTCTACAGTTTCTAATTATATGCTATTGGAGAAACCATAAAGATGTTCGTTTCGAATGATAAAGATACAAAATCAGTGTAGAACCTTTATGTTTCACTTTCCCGGATAAAAAAAGAAATTGCAACTCAATTATGAGATGAAATGGAAAGCTCAAAAAGAATGTGAGGGAGAAGACCAAAAACACAATCTGAGAGAAAATCTTTACAATCAAATAACATTTTGTTTAATTCACTGACACATGTTTTTCACAATATCAATGCAACAAAGTGCAATCACCCATATCGCCATTTAATACATCAGCTGCACATGTTCCTAGTATAAGTTGATTTTTATATATAGTTTACAGTTGCTTAATGTGTGTGGCTCGTTTAACTATTCTGAACAATCAATGAATAAGTAAATGCCTTAGATGCACAGAAGAAAACACAAGAGTTAAGAAAATGTATTATTTCAACGTGCCTTCATCCCTTCCTAACCCGCCGTTCCCACTACTAGTAGTTATAACCAGATCAATCACGGTCTCAATGAACCATAAAAGGAAAAAATATTGTTAGCAAATTTTTAAACAAGCAGAGCATACTAAGTTTATACTTTTGAAATGATCAAACTTTCAAAGGTCAGAAAACATTAAAGAGAAGATGAAGCACCAGGGTTATTCACTCGAGATGCTCCAGAAACTGAAGGCTGCGGATCACCACTCTCATGATCCATTCCTTCATCGCTTTCAGCACCCTCCTTAATTTCCAGTTCTCCTTCATTTTCTCCAAAATTAAGCCAGGACTGAAAAAATTCAACAAGTTCTTAATTAAGTTCAGACTAAAAGCAACACCAAAAATAATTTTTTTTAACAAATGGATTCAACTGTCACCACAAGTTGGATTCACTTGCAAACAGCGGTGCAACTTCGAACTCTCTTAAAAGTATGAAAAGAGCCTCTTTACACGAAAAATTATACAGAATAAACCTGTTCCACAATTTGTTGAACTCTTTTTTCATATTCTCGTCTATTTTCCTGATACAGTTGAGCTGCCAATGAATTAGCAGGACTATTGGGGTTTGGCTCATCCAATAACGACTGAATGGAAGTGAGGATCGCCGCAACATCGTAAGTTGGGGACCATCTATTCTATAAGAAGAAAATATATGAAAAAATGTCACCAATCTTATGTCTTTACTTGGAAAGAAACATCACTAATACTTTCTGCAACTCGAAGACACAAGAGAAATACAGGTCTGATTACTAAATAAGTGAAATGACCTTGAAAATCTTTCATTTTATCACAATTCTTCCTCATCTCATGCAACTGTAATGCAAATCAAATACCTGCAAAATATCTAAGCAGATGCTACCATCAGCATAAACATTTGGATGAAACATTTTGGAGACAAATTTTACTGTAGGAGGCTTATTTGGGTACTCTTCAGTGAACTCAAGAGTCAACTTGAATGTTCCATCTTCAAACGGTGTGTCCTGAGGCCCAAAAATAATCGCTTCCCACATTAGTATATTATCTTCTGTTGGCGCACCACTTACCCCAGCAGGAGGATCTTCCTTAAAAATCAGTAACATTAACGATAACTACAATCAAATAAAGAATAAAGTAAAAATAAGTTAAATAGATAAAATACCTGAAGTTTTTTGAAATCTCGCATTAGACGTCTTCGTGATGGTGTTGTCATGATTGCTACAATGACCTCTGTAGTAAAGTAAACAGTGTACCAATTTTAATCATTACGAAGTCACAGAATAAACACGCATGTCGTACAAAATGCGATGTCTAGGTATTGAAGTAACTTAAGAGTAGCTTTCAACCTCCCCAATCTCTCCGATTTCAAAGAAAAAGCATTCAATTCTAAATTCAATTCACAATCCCATGTAAGTCGAAAAATGAGAAGTAACCCAACATACTTTCTCTGTTTACCATCCTTCACGCAAATAAAGCTGTCTACCAATTTAATGAGTAGATATGATTATATATATGTAAACTGCTCACTGAATCCTACATATACATAAAGGGATTTATCTATAGACACAAACAAAAATCGCGATACAAAACACAGGTATGAAAAACTGAAACGGAAGTCATAGGGAAAATATGAAATAAATCGCTTCACAAATAATTTAAATTTCGAGGCTCGTTTTGGTATTGGTACATGTACGTCACGAATGTAATCCCTGCCATATCAATCAACGAGCTAGCAGTATGAATTGTCATCATAATTTTGGGCTTAAACACATTATGCTGGGATAGCTTAGCAACCTAGATGTGAAATTTGTTGTTTAAGTAAAAGCAATGAGACGACAACAAAGATAATGCTAAACTGATTGATACAGTTTCTTCTAGATACGCAATTGAAGTAAAAGCAGAACTATCAATGAGTAGTGATTTTGAATGATGTAATAAACATAAAGAATTGACATTTTCCACAAGTCAAGTGATCAAAAGAGTGCGCAATAACATAAACCACAGGGCGATAGCTAAATGAATAGAGTAGTTAGTCAAACGTACTGGAGAATAGCCGTGGAGAAGGGTAGGTAGCAAAGCACTGGATTTCTTTCCCTGCCATATGCATGCAGTCTGCAGTGTCAGTTGTAACAAATATATAATCAGCTTGTGAAGCGTAGGGATGAGCAAGTTATTACCTATTCACCGCCTATTTTGCTCTTTACTGTTACTACTATTATCGTTCTTTTTTCTCTTCATCACTGCTATCATTACTACTATTGTTTAGATGCAGTTTGCTCGTTAATCTGTAATTTTCGTTAATTTTGGCTATCCCTATAAAATTAAATTCAGTGGCATAGTTGCATTCAAAATTCACATTGTTAAGCCTAAGCAAAGTTCTTGAGCAATAAATTGTAAAGAACCGCACTGACCACACTACTTCCGTTCATCAGTAACAACACCTAAATTTCATGTAAGGGATGCCAGAAATCGTGCAATTATGAGGATCATTTGGATGAAGTTTCATAGTGTAAAATGCGGCCGTGGTCCTTGTTGATTGTCGACAGCATTGTTGTCCATTTTTGATGCTGAACAATCATTGTGTTCGGGTTATGTTGCAAACTGTCGAGTTGTACGTTTGTTTGGGTTTTTCTATTATTGTTTGCTTAATTGTTGAGTGCAGTTGAAATTTAGAATATTGGGATTTTAGTGCTTGAGTAGGAGTTATTTACACGTATGAAAGGTTATCTACATGTATTAGAAGTTATGCTGCATCATTCAAACAATATAATTCATATTTATATGATTGTTTCTTTTTAAATTTCAATTCATATTTGTATGAATTATACTTGTTTGCTTTTGGTGTAAAATTTCATGAGGTAACTTTTTGTGTAGTTTATCTGCACTGGTAACATGCAGTTTTATATATCCTTTACACATTTGATAAAAATGTTATCTTTTCAGGAAATAAATGAGTAGAAAGTTTTAGAATCATGAAGAGGTACTTTCCACCTCAAGCGCTTTTTCTGCTATCATTATGTTATTTCTAAATTTTCGCTGGTATTCATTTGACTGCTATTTCTGCAAATGAATAATTCAATTCCAATGCATGAAAAGGCTAAACATTTCTAGATCGTTTATCAATATATTTGCACAGTATGAAGTTTTATGATGACATCTAAGTGTAATCAGCACGTGTATTTTTTTACTGCACTCTCACAAATTGCTTGTTGTTTCCTATATGCATAACTAAATATACTTGCAAATATTTCTGCGCTTGCGTTGATTTCAGTTGATCACTCGAATTTGCACTTTTGTCCTTTGCGCATGTCACCTTCAATACAATTTTTATATTATTGTGTTTGAGTGGTGTTTCTTGTAATTTTTGAAATAACTAAATAGTGAGTATACGTCATTTGAAGTCAGTTACGTGGTTCATTTGTCATATTTCATACTAGGTCTCAATGCAAGCAAAGTTTGATCATAATTTTTCTACATTTGCTCATTTGATTATCACCACGGTCTTACTTCGGACTTACCGTTTCAGAGCGAAAAATAATAGATGATATATTTGTTGTTTACGTTGGTCAGTATATTTTCTGCAATATTTTTTTCATTCGTTTTTGATATTAGTATTTTTTATATTTGCACTCTGCTGATGGTATCAACACTATCTGATATTCGTTCATAAGACCCACTCATTTTTTATTTGTTTAACCCTTTCATACTAACTGCTTTATCAGTAACCGTTATTATTAGAAGTATGAAAGAAATTCTTCACCAAGTGAATGGCGCTAGACAAAATAATTTTTAATATTGTCATTGATCACTGCATATGTATTACACGAATTAATCATTGTGCTGAGATCTTTGATCGTGTGTATATTTTTTAATAAAATAATATGGTGTTAATTTAATTAGTTCGGTTCGATGGCGATGTTGAACATTTTGCCATTCGTCTTTATTTATTTCCGTTATTTATGGCAACAGCTGTATGTCGTTCTTGCAACAGGCGCAGTGATCTTAAGAATTTTCACTTCTGATGGCAACTATCTATTACGTTTTGTGAATGTTCTTTGAGAAAGTTAGGATTGTAGAGGTGTCATTCACATTTTCTTTGCAAATTTAAAGAAATAAAATGCATAGTGTGATTTTTGATTTATCATCAGGAGTTGAGAAGCGCATGAGTGTTTAGCGTTATAAAATGAATGCTTGTTGTTTTTGCATTCTCAGGCTTTTTATATTATCATGAAATGTATTAAAATTATTAAGCACTCATTAACCGCAAACACGATCCTATATCATATAAATACGGCTGTTTTCTTCGTTTCATTTACTAGTATTTCAAGTGGTGGTGGATTTGGTCGCTTTTGGGATTGAGATGTTGCTACCGCGGAGAAGTATACTGAGAGGTGTAGGACCTCGCAAATTATTAGAGTGGTCAATTTTTTCCAATTTTTCATTATGTAAAAAGGATATGATACCAAAACAATGCCTTCTTCTGGGAATGCGTAATGCATGCACTGATGGCTCCATTAAAGTAAATGTTTCCTCTTCTAATTTTCTAAAATTACAGGTGGTAATTTTTCTGTTTGCTGTACTCAGTATAGTTCTTATTAGCGAGTGGTAGGTGGGATGGAATAAATCTTGCTCTAGAATCCAAAATACTGTGGTGGCAAAATTGTTGGTAGTTTCATTGTATGAAATTGTGTTACATTGCAGAAACTAAGAAGTTACCGTTATGCATGGAGGATTTTAAAAAGATTCGAAGGTTACTACAGTATTTACTTCACATAACGTCGTTCTCATTTTCTTTTCAGGCGGAACCGTTTATGAACGGTACATCTTCAGTCTACATTGAGCAGATGTATGAAGCATGGCAGAAAGAGCCCTCATCAGTTCATCCTTCTTGGAATGCCTATTTTCACAATGTTGAACGAGGTGAATTACTCTCCAGTGTCATATTCTATCTTTTTTCCAAAATATTTTTTTCGCAATTCATTGCTAATCTTTTAAAATTTTATTAGACTTACCACCTGGACAGGCTTATTCTTCACCACCAAAAGCGCTCTACGCAGCACGTCCTCATTTACTTCCATCTGAAGCTGGCTTTTCATATAAAATTAAGCCTCAAACAGGCTCATCTTTGTCGGATATAGAAGATCATCTCAAAGTCCAACTTTTGATCAGAAGTTATCAGGTAACTCATTATTTAGATGTTTAACATTTTAGTGTTTCCATTTGTGATTTCGTATATATAAGAGATTTTTTTCAGACGCGAGGTCACAACACAGCTGATTTAGATCCTTTAGGGATTAACAATGTGAACTTAAACGACACAACACCTCCTGAATTAGAGCTGTCGTTTTATGGCTTCAAAGAAACTGATATGGAGAAGGAATTTCGTTTACCCATGTCAACATTTATTGGTGGTGACAAAAAATCTCTGAAACTAAGAGATATTATAAAACGTTTGGAGGTTTTTATCTTTAGGTTTTCTTCGAAACTGATTTTGGCACCTGCTGGAAAGATATTAATATTTGTGTGCTTCAATTGATATTTTTTCAAATTTTATTATATGCTTTTAGACAATATATTGCTCACATACGGGAGTTGAATATATGCATTTGACTAATTTCGAACAATTGGAATGGGTTCGTAAAAAATTTGAAGAACCTCTTGTATCCGAACTCACAAATGAACAGAAAAAAACACTTTTCAAAAGACTGATACGGTCTACAAAGTTTGAAGAATTTTTAGCTAAAAAGGTATTTGACTACTATTTCTCTGCATTTGAAATTAGAAGTACGCTTTACTAGACTGTATTTTTATTTCTCTCAGTATTAGTAGTCGCCAGTAAAAAATCGTACAATTGTTTCTCGCATAAATGAGTGAATCAATTGGTTCGTTTACAGTGGCCAAGCGAAAAGCGTTTTGGTCTTGAAGGTTGCGAAGTTTTGATACCTGCTGTTAAACAAGTGATTGATTCGTCTAGTGCAGCTGGTGTAGATTCTGTTGTGATTGGCATGCCTCATCGGTAATATTTTTCTATTCATATTTTGTGAAATGCTTCAATAGGATTTATAACTCACATTCTTGTAATTAAATAACTCACAAGACTAACAGATGCACTCACTGTTGATTGGTGGTATTTATGCTAGTATTGATCCTCAAGATTTTTTCATCTCGTCCCGAATTACTTTTTTGTTGCATAACTTTTCAGGGGACGACTGAATATTCTCGCAAATGTCTGTCGCCAACCTTTACCAATTATTTTTTCTCAGTTTTCTGCATTAGAAGCAGCTGATGAAGGGTCAGGTGATGTGAAATATCATCTCGGTATCTGCATTGAGCGCATTAATCGAGTTTCCCAAAAGAAAATTAAAATTGCTGTTGTTGCAAATCCATCGCATCTTGAAGGTACTTTTTATCATTTTTTTTCATGGAGAGGTCCCGGTTATTTTCCAAAAAAAATATGGTCAATTCAAGAATCATAGTACTGAGTTACATAGAAACCTCACCGAACTTTCATAACTTTCTAGATCTTATTTCGATATCACTGTATTATCATATTAGCTATTTTTGTCAATTTTCACCGAAACACGATCTTTATCTTCTCATTCAGAATACTTTTAATATATTCTGGTTTTCAGCTGTCGGTCCTGTTGTCTTGGGAAAAGTTCGTGCAGAATCATTTTATACAGGAGATAAAGATGGTGATCGTTCTATGGCTATTTTGATGCATGGTGATGCAGCATTTTCAGGACAAGGTGTCGTTATGGAAACATTTAATCTTGATCACTTGAAAGCTTATACTACTCATGGAACAATCCATATTGTCGTTAATAACCAGGTATACAAGTTACCGTAATATTTACCCAATTCATGAAAGAACATTTTAAAAATCAGGTTTTCGAGATCAGGCTGTGTGAAACATGATTTGCATGTACCATTTCGTCATTTAGATTGGCTTCACAACTGATCCAAGATGTTCACGATCATCTCCCTATTGTACAGATATAGGGCGTGTTGTGGGGTGTCCAATATTTCATGTTAATAGTGATGATCCAGAAGCAGTTATGCATGTTTGCAAAGTTGCTGCTGATTGGCGTAAAACTTTCAAAAAGGTTTATTGCTTTATCAGTGTAGCTTGTTAGATGTGTGTTACATATCGTCTTTGAATACTTCGCTTTTAATAATAATTCTAGGATGTTATAATTGATTTGGTATCCTATCGTCGTTATGGACACAACGAACTTGATGAACCGATGTTTACACAGCCATTGATGTATCAGCGTATTAGAAAATTACAGCCAGTTCTTGGAATTTATCAAAAGCAGATTTTAACGGAAGGCATTGCTGATGAAAAATATATAAAGGTGTAGTTTGAAAAATTTTTTCTTGAAAAGTTTTTACTACTGTGCGAGAATAGTTTGCTATAATTCAAGGTTTTTAGAAAAAAAACTTATAAGGTGTAATTAGTTAAACGATCCCTGTTGATTTTATGGACTCCATAATCCATGTTATTTGAGAGATCATTGATCGAAGTAACAAGTTCTTATAGGATGAAGTAGAAAAATATAATGCCGTATTAGAAGATGCGTACGACAAGGCACAGAAGGTGACATTTCTTCGTAACAGAGATTGGATTGATTCTCCGTGGGATGATTTTTTCAAGAAACGTGACCCACTGAAAGTACCAGAAACTGGTGTTCGGAAAGAAATTATTGAACAGATAATTGAGAAATTCTCATCTATCCCACCAGGTATCTATTTTGTATCTTAATTTGTATGCAAGGATCAGTTAGAATTTGAATTCTTTACCAACTGATTTTGGAATATAATGATTGACTTGTAAACTTTCAAATATTTTCAAGTGATGGAACAGCAGCGGTTGTTCAAGTATTGCATAAATTGAGCTATATACTATGTCATTATTATCTGATGCAAATTATTTCTGGTATTCTTCATTTTTTCACAAAAGTTGCAGATTTTAATCTTCATCGGGGCTTGGAGAGAATACTGAAGGGGCGACGTCAAATGCTTAAGGAAAACAGTTTTGATTGGGCAATGGGAGAAGCTGTTGCATTTGGGTCCCTTCTTCTCGAAGGTAATTGTTATTTGTAGTTGCTCAAGTCTTTTTCACAATTTAGACATTCTGAAACGAAATTTTATTTTAGGGATACATGTTAGATTGTCTGGACAGGACGTTGAAAGAGGAACATTTTCGCATAGGCATCATGTGTTGCATGATCAAAAAATCGATCAAAAGACATATAATCCGTTGAATGATTTGTCGAATACAGTATGCTCACTTTATATTCTAATTTCTTTGTTGAGTTTACGTTCATATTTACCATCTCATAACAAACCAGAAAGATTTCATAAAATATGATTTGCAGTGACAATTATTCTTTTCGTTATTGGTAATTGTTTTAGCAAGCAGAATATTCAGTATCGAATTCGTCGCTTTCTGAATATGCAGTTCTCGGTTTCGAGCTTGGTTACTCAATGGTAAATCCCAATTCGCTAGTTGTATGGGAAGCTCAATTTGGGGATTTCGCAAATAATGCTCAGTGCATCACGGACCAATTTCTATCCTCGGGTAGTGAATTCTTCAGTTTTTGATCGTAATTATTTGAACATTTCTCGTTTTTGACTGATTAATATTCACAGGTCAGGCCAAATGGATTCGACAGTCTGGGCTGGTGATGTCATTGCCACATGGTTATGAAGGGATGGGCCCGGAACATAGTAGTGCACGTTTGGAACGCTATCTGCAGATGTGTAATGAAGATGATGAAATCGATATTGAGGTAAGTTGTCATAAGCTGTAACCCATACATTTAAGTATGTAAGAAAACTGAAAATAAATAGTTGGGGACCAGATGCTTGTGTTGCAGAAAACTGCATTTGGTCCTACTTTTGAATCGCAGCAGCTGTACGACACAAACTGGATTGTAACAAATTGCACCACACCCTCTAATGCCTGCCATGTATTAAGACGACAAATAGCATTGCCTTTTAGGTATTTTTTATACAGTAAAAAATTACTTTTAAGTATATTTCTGGGAAAAAAACATGAAAAATATTGTAGAAAACCACTGGTCATAATGTCACCAAAATCACTTCTCCGTCATCCTTTGGCACGTTCTTCTATAGAAGATTTTCTGCCTGGTACCAGGTTTCAGAGAGTGATTCCAGAAAGTGGCTGTGCTAGTGAAACTCCAGATAAAGTGGAGCGTTTGGTATTTTGTACTGGTGAGATTTCGCACCCGCTTACTTCCGTTTCGTGAAGTTTCCACTCAGCTTCTCTTTTTTTTTCTTAGTTCAATGTAGTTTTATACATTACAGGAAAGGTGTACTATGATTTAATATCTGCGAGGAAACATCTGAACCTAGAACCACGTATTGCAATATGTCGCATCGAGCAAATAAGTCCATTCCCGTACGATTTAGTTGACCAAGAATGCCGCAAATACAGCGTCGCAGAACTTATTTGGGCACAGGAAGAGCACAAAAATATGGGCGCGTGGGGGTTCATCCATCCTAGATTTGAAGGGCTTTTAACGAAGTTAGCAAATACGGTTCCTGAGAATTTCTTAGCGTAATCCATAACATTTTTAGTTCCTTATAGACTGTTGCGTTACCATTTGCCAACTTCATGTGATTTCGAAGCTTTCAGGCAGGGAAGAATGCTCACATATGCGGGACGGAAGCCTGAGGCTTCGGTAGCAACGGGTAACAAATATACTCATTATGCCGAATTGAAAAATCTTATTGCCAAAACTTTGAATGTCCGTAAAGCTGATCTCGATGGATTCATAGGTGGATGATAATATAGATTCCTACTCATTTGTAAACGGTTATTTTCAATCTCCTATTCAGTAAATTTTTAAGTTCTAGAAAGTGCACATCTACTTAAACTGCGAACCAGTACAGTGTATTTTGTACGAATATTCCAAATACAAATATTCTAATGATATCATGCTTAGAGATGCCCATTAATATGATGTTGGACACTGCAGAATTTCTTCAGAATCCAAAAAATTGAGAATCGTGAGAATAAGACAGTTTTCATGCGCATTTCATTTAATATAGCTGCATGAAAATTCTTCTAAATTGTAATTCTCAAGATCCATGAATTCAAATTACTCGTCTTGAAATCTTGCATTCAGTCATACAATCAGGTCCAATTTTTATCTCAGTCTGCATAGAAGTCTTTACTGTGTTGAATACATAGTAAGTCGTGCGTATTAATATAGAAAAGTAAAATATTACAGGACGCTTTAATGCTTTCATCCTTCAAAAAAATGAATTCAATTAGACCATCACATGAAGATTAGGTGTATGTAATGATATGGACACAGAAAGTGATAATTCTGATAAATGAATAAACCCTTTTTGCCAAAGCTATGAAGTACACAACAAACAACATATTTCTGAGAAATGTAATTTATGTACAAATATAAATGATAGCTTATCAGGTGATAAGGCAGTTATTCTAAGAAACCATTTTTTGGCGAGATTGATATTTACCGTAGTGAGTAGTGTTCTCAAGTTTCGAAAGAATGAATTTGAACAATCGCAGAGAATTGTGTTTGTCATGTTTGAAGCAATATTCGCCAATCATATCATATAATTCCCCTGTAAATGTTCACGATTATTTTATTTTAACTGAAATAAGACATTTTAGAAATAATATCTGACGTAAACTACATAATTTGAGAAACAAGGTTCACAGTAGTTGTTGCTCTTCGAGTAAGATACACAAGGAGAGCTGTTCATGGATGAATAAGCAGGCCTGTGATAACTTCTCAGACTTATTATTCATCCTTGGGCCTTGAAATATTCAGTCTCTATAGAATACGAAATAGCTGCAGGAGTGCTTGTTGATGAGTTGCAAAGTGTTTCAATTCAACGTACCAACTGAGATTTCAGCGTTCACTAGTGCTCTATATACTTTCCTGAAGTCCTCTGCAAATTTTGAATCACCAAATGTGAAGTAGCATAATGGTCTCTTTCGTGCAGATGAAGCCATAAGTTGTATCATACCTAAGCATAAGTATACCACTGTGGGAAATGCAGACAGTGCGTGATGAAAATAAATAGGTCCGAAATTACACAAGAAATTACTTTTTAAATCCAGATCACCTCCAAACGCACCACAGCCCCATTTGCCTGTAGCTACTGGTTTAAACGTATCATCCTTGACAGCAAAGCCGACATAAGCCTGAAAAATCACTCTCATAACAATAATTTAAGAAAGAAAGTTACCGCTACCTTGAATAATTCGCGATTTACTGCATCGATATTGAATTGCTTTTGTTTATTGTAAAAAGGTAAAGCATCCATTGCCACCAATTCACAACAAAGCCTACGGAAACGATCCCTTAAAAATGGGAATCATGGTGAATAGCCTCATACTGGGACTTCAAAAGTTATTTTTGATAAAAAAGAAAACGATTCCATACTAAAAGATAAAATGCATAAAAAGGATTCATTTTTAGAAGAGACCCACACATGCCTTGTTTAACATGGCTCAGCAGGCAGATTAATGACAATGAATAAAATAACCTTGGTAATGGATTCTTTATTTCCATTGGACACCAGCGAAATGATGAGCCATAACCAACGTAATTCGAAAACCTTTCTGCGCCACAAATGACCACTGCTTCATTATTATCCAATTTTTCGCACAAAAGCATTGATATAATTAATTCCGGATATATAAGAAACCTAATTTCTTCCTGAAAGATGGAATTAATTCAATGTGCACTAGAATAAAAATGTTTTACTAAAACAACAGCACTTACTTGAACACAACCACTACTAAGTACTCCTCCTCCAATGTATTTATTAGCAAAATCCACTTCTAACATTCCATAACCACTATCTTCTATTGAGCCTACAGAACTCACATACAGAGGTGATAACGGTAGCTGCAGAGAAGACCACACACACTGAACTGAATCATTTTGTCGTCGGAAAGATAACAATCCTTCTGGCACTGAAAAAACAGCAAATTGAGCAGAATGCTCTAGAAGAGCATAGAAGAACGGAATTAATGTGATTATAGATATTTCTCAAAGAAATTGAAAAAATCAAGTTTACTTTTCTCAGAAATCACATCAAAATAATGTAATAAGCATCGTAATTTTTCCACCACATTTGCAGTGCGCATACTGAATAAACGGTTAAAATTAATTAATGAGAATCTGTTATTAAGATTGTTGCGACTCGGATATGTACAAAAAAATGCATGTGCAAGAAGTGAAGCTGCTTGATGCTGACTCATTGTTACCGAACATGACTGACCACGTCGCAATAATGGTAATGGCTGCAAAAAAGTGCTGACAGTAACAATCGCTAAATACATCTCTTCACAATTCATATTTGAATGACTTAATAGTTTTCTGCGCTACATATTAAGCTTCTGTGAACAGTTTAGATTGAAATGACACAAGACTTATTATTATTTGAGATTCCATTATTGTGAGAAAATCACTGTAATAATTTGTTTTAAATGATATCGAACTGAATTAAATTCCAATCAAAGTTGAAACTTAAATTCTTTTATATTTCTTAATCAAGTTTGAGTTAGCTTGAGATTAAATACAACCTCGTAGAAAATCCAACCGTCGAAAACGTATTAGCAGCTTAGAGAATGCTTCTGTATAGCAAAATAGAAAGGAAAACTCGTCATGTAAAGCTATATAAGATGCGCAGAAATGAGCTAGTCTCAATATCAGATTCATCAATATGGTTACGATTCGGAAATATTACCCCACAATATGAAGCGCTATACTGTTATCTATGAGATAGAAATATGTTTGGAGCTGAAAAAAGGAGATGCCCACATTGTAGGAAACATGTGAAGACGATGGACCATTTAGCGATGCAGTGCGAGGAAATGGTATATCACAACTACTAGAAGACACAATGAGATCCTGCGATGCATTCATTTGGGACTCTGAAAGACGTATGGTCTTAAAGCATTCCCACTCATGCGAAGCGATTCCTTTCAGGAAATCGTTACTAATGAGAATGAGGAAATTAGAGTCGATATACGAGAGAACAAACTGCAATTAAAATAAGGGCGGATTACCAGACATCCTGGTGTACGACAAGAAGCGATACGAAGTACTTCTGATGGAAGTTGGCACCACTGGTCAAGACAGGCTCATAGCAATTGCGACCGCGAAGTGGAAGTATGACTGAATGGCTGATAAAATTGAGGCAGAGATGAAATGCAGAACGAAAATAATTCCGTATGTGATGATGTAAGATGAGATAGTGACGAACTTGCATAAACAAAGGAAATCAGTGTATCTGATCACGTCTGGGTACAATCGATAGTCCTCAAGAAAACACTCGACGGCATCTTACTCGATCAGTGCCGTGGATTCGACGAGGACGAAGCCGCGGATATCAGCACAGCAGAAATGAGCGTAGGACGAGTGCAGCGAGAATGTCAGAATATGACCCAGAATTTGAATCAATAATGAAAAAAAGAAGAATAACCTCCGTGTGAATATGGAAATTACAGTATACTAAAATTAAATATTCTTTACATTTTGCATAGAAACCACTAACTAAAAAATAAAATACCTGAGTTATTAAAAGTGGACTTTGCAGCGCTAATTTCGCAATAAAAGGCACTACACTTGAGAGATATTTTGCACGTACACCTGCATCCAAAAAAATGTCGAAAAAGTATTTGAGGGCATCAAAACATTTAATATTTGAATAGCTCTTGATGCATACCTGCAAATACCTCTTCTATCATTTCATCCTGCAAAACATATATATATATATGATATACTGAAATTACAACCTCAATCTCCTCATATGATTTCAGTGGCTCCAAAAGTTTAGAAATAGCATTCTTCATAATCCTATAACGCGGAATGCCATCAACAATATTACATACGGAGTATGGTAATCGAACATATCTGCAGTCAATTAAATAAATTGGTAGAGCGTGGCAGCACCTGCAGTTATTACTTATCACCTGGGAATCAGTTTTTTACACTTAAATTAAGAATAACCTTTCTTCACAGTTCCAACCGTATGTCATATCAGTGCACATTAGAGGATATGGTTCATGTACAATCCCATTTGGCGATGAGCTGATACAGATAAGGAGAACATCTGAAGTACTTTTATGATTTAAATCAGGATACATGTCATCGTAGCGACGCAATGATTCGATGTCGGAAGCGTGTAACTAAAATGTCAATGGAGTGATGATCAGCATCTTTTCTAAATTTTTCTAAAGAACAACCTCTTTTAACTTATTAATACGAGCGGTAGTTACCGCTTCACTTTCTTGATTACACGAAGGCCCCCATAAAGTTTTCAATTTAAACTGCAAACTATTTAAAGCAGTGAATTATTTCAAACAAATTGCAAGTTATTTATCATAATATCATCAAGCATAGTAATTAAGTTATCTAAATCAAATTACCAAAGAAACAGTGATAAATACTGAAGAGGTAAATACAAGGTTATTAACAGAATAAAAATTTTATAAGCAATAAGTATGGAATGACATTTTCAGTTAACAATATATGAAACTTACAGACGAGAAAAAGTAGAATACGATACGATAAAGAGTTTGTTAATTAATTTAACAAAACCGAGTATTATGATGCATATTTTGTCTGAAAAGGCTTGATAGATTTTGCACCTTCACAAATCTATTTCATATTAGAATTTAATATTAAAAAAATGCAGGTTGCAAATATAAAATTTGCCTGTTTTGTAGTACTAGCAGCTGATCGAAAATCACTGAAGCACTGTTTTTCACAATTAAAGTTCTTTTGTTCAATAAGAGATGCGAGGTATGTTTTCGATTTTGCATCAAAAAATCCAGCTATAAATCGTTACTGCAATAAGCATAGAATTTAAAGAGTGATAAATAATTCCAGATACCTCAACCGAAGATCAAAAGAAGTAATATACATAGAAGACAAATATAGCATACTTGACAAAAAAAAGAAGTGATGAAAAAATCTTTTACATGGTTCTAAACTTTCACTGGAAGAATCAGTAGTACAAGAAAATGTTCAACCTGAACTAGCAATCTTATCCGGTTTGTCATCTTCATCTTCTGCTTTATAAGCACGAAATACCTTCTGACCTACAGTTCGGAAACGGAGATCATTTGTCTGCTTTACTGCCGTATTCTCGTGTTCTGAAAAACTGACAATACTGACAAACTTTTCATCAGCGACATAATCATTTTGTTATGGCAGTTAGCAAATTTGTTTTACAAGAATAAATAACATAAACTGGTATGCATAAGGAACAAATTAGCCGCTACATGAGTTCTCGCACAACCAGTTGCAGTTAAGCGAAGGAAAGTGGTTGTATAAAGCATTTGAGATTCCCGGTACTATTCACAAACACCTCTCGAGTGTATTGAATACAAAATTAAAATGTATTATTTTTGTATTACGGGAAATACCACATGTTCTTTCCTTTTTTTCTATTGTAATGATAGAAAGCTAATTTGAAATCAGCATATCTTTAATACAAACAATAAATATACAATACTAAAGCCTGAAGAATGAATGAAGTGCCTGAAGAATGAATGAAGTGAAGGTAATGAAAAAATGAATAAAATGAATGAAAAATGACATACTAGGTAGTTCCATATTTTGAGCATATGGTACTTGGATCGTACTCACCAGAAATAACCAGGAACAAAAGAATGCTGTGAACCAAAAAATTTATGCCAATGGTATTTGACGAAAAATTAGCAAAATTTTCCAACTAAAAAATAGGCTGACTGTTCCTGAAGATACATTCAATTAGCAATATTAATGGGAACAAAGTAAACTCTACCTAACTTTATGCTGGGTCAATTTCACAATTGTTCATTCAAATAATCATTTACTTAATTTATTCGTTATTTCAAACATCAAAATTTCACATCGCATGCTACGTAAAACCAGATTAGTGATACCACTTTTCTTTTCGAGTTTAGTAAATATGAAAGTTTTCACGTGACATGTCATCTTCTATGCATAATGCACAAGTAGTTATACCATGTTTGATATAGCTGATTAAAAGTGGATGTTGAAATGTCGCTAGTAGATTAAAATGAGACAAACGTTAGACTTCAAAAAGAGCTAGATTAAGATGAGACGAACGTTAGACTTCAAGAAGAGCTAGAACAAAAACCCTCAGCTTTATCTTCCATAAATGTTCAATGAAGCAATGCATAGAGGATGATATTTCAGTCACTAAACGAATTGCATGCTGTAATTTGTGAATGACATTTTGAGAAGAAATTTGGATAACTATTCCGATTTGTTTTGTCATGCACTGGATGAGTATAATTGTTAACAATGTAGAATGATGTTTACTGTGGTGGGAAGTGTGGGTAACTCAGTGAGCAATGCTGCCATCTTTACTCACTCTTTTATGGAGGTTTGATTATGTTTCCACCGAAAGATGTGTGTACACGCTTTGAACACTTGTGTAAATATAAGCAAAGACAAGATACGCAAGAGTGAGGCAAACGCCTATGCGAGAAAGAAATTAAACCGTTGTTAGCGTAATAATTTTCACGATTTTTCCGTATGTGTAGAGATGACGCATTTTCGTTTATATTAAGTTTTTCGATGATGCTATCATCACATTCATGCTAATACAATTAACAGTTGCTAATTTTTGTCATTAAGTGACAAATTCTTGCAGTAATATACAAATTACTACGAGTTTAAATACACCTTTTTGGGCATGGGACATATCATTTCCTTGCTATGTAAGTGAAGCTCTTTCAAAATATCTTACAGACGCAAATATCCCTAAAGTTCTATCTAAATTGATCTGCATAATATTTTATATAGTTGTATATAAATTGCACAATTTTCCCTCCATTGTATAGGGCATTTTGCAGTTCACTGAAATGAATTGGTTTGTTAGAAAGTAATAATATGCAAATATCGGAACAGTCACTTGCAAAGTGATTTTTAAATTTTAGAAGTGTTTCAAGCTGTTGATGTGCACATTATTATAGGTCCTGAAGGGTTTATCTTCTAATTTTAGACGATAAAAGTAAGGACAAATAGTAAACATAATACGTATTCTCTAAATTACATACTATTCCTTCCAAATAAATGAGTAATCTTGTATATTGCACATTTCTCATTCCTCATAATTTTATTTTTAGTACATTTTGAATGTTTTAAAAAAGTATCAAGATTGTTTTGTCATACAATGCATATTATATCTACTAATATGGATGCGAATTGAATGGCTTTAACAGCTTAACGATTCTGTTAAAAATGGTATGACTTATATTACATGGATAATGTTAGAGTTAGTTTCGAAGTCTGCTGAATTTCATTTGGGACTAAGCATTATCACAAAACTCGTTAAAGTCAAGAAAAAAAAGTACAAAAGGATTATTGCTTTGGCCTTTTTTTTCTTGGAGCAAGCACTAAAAATCTTCAGAACTTTTGTCTTAATTTTTCATTTCATTACTTTATTCTTTTTTAATTACAAACTGATGTTTGTCAGTATGCTTGAATTTTGCAATTCAGTAAGCTCTTAAAAACTGCTTGCTTCAGTGAAAAAGGATAGTTTTTCATAAATCTTTTTATTAACTTACAAGAACGATGTGAAGAAAGCTAATAAAAAATTCATTGAATCTTATTTTACTTAGAATTCAAACAAGTACAATCTTGTAAAATTTTTGCAACTGGAAGTGTTACAAACTTTTTCCATGCTAGAAAGTGTTGCAACTGATGTAAGTCACAGCTGTGTTACAAAAGTACTTCGTAACTATTTATCAACCCATAGCAAAGATAAACGAGAGCCAGATTTGAACTTTTTTTACATAGGATTTTTGCTACCGAATGTGATGCTTGAACATAAAATGGAGAAAAATGTTTGAACCGTAAAATGACCACAACATTCGATTATTTTCATTCCAGATTTTCTTTTACTTTTTTAATTGACGCATGGTGCATGTCATCATCATAATACTGCTAGTCAGGTTTATTCCCAATCCCCAAAGGTGCTTCATCTTCCTGAAATATTTTTTTTCTGAAAAACTATTTAGTCGAAAGATTACTTACCATTATCATAAAGTTGCGCCCATCTAAATCGCGCAATCTTTAAGTGATATCAAAATATGCTAAAGACAAAAAAATATAAAGACAATGTTTCTGTTTTGTTTTCAAATCTCAGTAATTGCATGCTGTTTCAAGAGACTTTGTTCATCTTATGTAAATATAACGGATGATTGCATCAGTTGCAGAAATGATTTCTTTGTTGATGGCAGTTAATTTAAACGGAATTAATTGAGTAAATGTGCACGAATGATTTTTTAACGAATGTTCTCATACGAACTTGAACGATGAGCGCATGAAATTTTACAGCAGACAGATAATATTCTATGCAAGGAATTTCAACTACTTGTTTTTTCTAAACTAAAAAACTTGACATAATTGGCACTTTTGGAAAAAGCTTCTGTTCACAAAGTATTTCCTACAAAATTTTTTTTTCGAAAAAATGGCATAAAACGTTTAATTATGCAGGAAGCTAGAACGGTTGCTACATATACCTCACTGAAAATGATCTTTTTTTATTAAGAAATGAAGATGACTTAAAATCCCTTACGAGGATCGATTTATTTAGCAAATACTTATAATGGTTGTTGTACTATACGCAGGAATTTAAGCTGTATGTAGTCCGGTTAATGAAATATATATACAGAGATGAGTGAAGTGAAATACTCAATTTTATTTCAAGAACTTCCTAATATTCAAGCACGAAATTTCGTTTTACTGTTTGAAATTGATTAAGAAATTGTCGAAGAAAAGAGTTAAGGTGGAAATCTGCATGACACTAGATACATTCATTCTCTGAATGATACATGTTGGCAGTAACATGTGCAAGTGAATTTGAACTCAGAATCAACAGAGATGGTTACTCTGCTGTGCAAAAGTGCCAACTAGTTTTCGGACTTTTCAAGGTTTTAGCCAGCGTGTTTCGTGGATATATCACTGGAGGGCACAAAAAATCTTTTCTAGTACAAAATTGCTGAGCAGGAATGCTTTGTGAATGATACATAATATGTTTCAGTTTTATAAAATCTTTGGCTTGCGTGAAAATGTATGTTATGTACTGGCACCGACAAAATATTCAATTTTCTTGCAGCAATGCTATTTGATTAGCAAGTTGGTCACTGCATACGCATTCACTGCTTACATCTCTTGGCTTACTTCGACTGTTTCTCAGTACAAGCTCTTTCAACTTCTACTCTGCAGTTTGTACTAGTAATTCATATTTTTTAAGCTTCTGAATTTTTTAAAGTTATCATTAACTTAAATTTGATGTCTGTAATAGTTCACTCGCAAAACAAGCCTGAAATGAATGAAAGTATTTTCTTACGTTTAGCTGCTCTGGCATCAAAGCAAAGTTCACGACTTTTGCAGATGTCGGGTCTTCGTTTGTCACGATAACTTGTCTGGACATTGGTTCATATCCATTTGCAGCTACGTATATTTCATAATTTCCTGGTGTAAGTAAACGAAAGTACTCACCACTCTCCCCTAAAATATTCGTTTTCTTTTTTACATTTTAGATATTGTTAACAAAGAAAGAATATGAAATATCCGCTGCGAACTTACTAAACTTAAAAACTAAATAATAAGCTTTTGATTGCTTCTCATACACTCTTGTGCTTGTTTAAATTTTAAGATGCCAGAAGCAATTTTTATATTTGTATTTATTTCAATACTCTTACTGATCCTTTCTACATTTAACTGAAAATCATTAATTTTGAAAATTTAAATTTTTAGAGTGATTTTTTAATGAAACGCACATGATGTCACTGGGTGCTTAATTGGGGCTGCTTCAGTGCTGTTTTTGACCCAAATAACTGCTTCTGGTATTGATTCATTAGTTATTTTATCACTTACAATACCTTTTATGCCAATATTAGCCTATAAATTTGCTAACTGTTTTCTGTCTATCAAGAATATAGAGTTGTTTAAGTTTTACTAATGTACTAATGCTGTAAATAAATTCTATTAAGCAGCATAGACTCATTCCGCTGTTTTGTTGCTTTTTTCTGCATTTGGTTGAATGAGCAACATTTCAGATATGTATCAAATTATATCACACATGTGAAGTTAGAAAAAAAACTAAACAATATTCTGGCCTTCATTAACCT